TTTAAACTCCTATTTGAACAGCTAACAGAACCTTGTTTTTTTATTCACCTCTTCTATGTCATCAAATCATTGTCCTTCATGTCTCTCTTCATCCGTGGAAACAAAAAGAAGTCGCACAGAGGGAGGTCAGGTGAGTGAGATGTGTGGGGCAAGAGAAGCATGCTAGTTTTTTGCCAAAACTGGTGCACTGAGATGGCTGCATGAGCAGGTGCACTGCTGTGGTGGCAAAACTAGTCTCCTGCTACCACAAATCAAGTCTTTATTATTATTATTATTATTAATCATTTTATGGGGGCTCTTAAAATTTTTAGGACAATCCATCATTTAAACCAGGCGTCCTCAAACTACAGCCCATTGGCCACATGCGGCCTGCCGAGAACATTTATCCATTTGTCTTTTTTTACTTCAAAATAAGATGTGTGCAGTGTGCATAGGAATTTGTTCGTAGCTTATTTTTTAACTATAGTCCAGCCCTCCAATGGGTCTGAGGGACAGTGCACTGGCCCCGTTTAAAATGTTTGAGGAACCCTGATTTAAACTGTATTAAACACACTTGTACATATGTTGCCATCAACCTTCCCAAACCATTTTCTTTCTACTTGAGTCCTTGGTATCAGCTCCTCTTTATTCCCCTCCCCCCCCCACCCTTCTACCCTCGTGAATCCTTGATCAATTATACATTATAGTTGTTATTTCATGTCTTACACTGTCCGTTGAATCGGGCCTTTTTCTGTTGCACACTGTTACACAATCCTTTCAGAACCTCTAAATAGAAAGCTTGATGAACAGTTTACATTACAAGTAGGCATTTTTGTCTGTTCGGGAAGTTAACGGATGTCCAGAACAAAGTTTGTCATCAATTGACATTTCACCTCTTTGGAAATGAGAAAACCACTTGTAAACTTGAGTTTTCTCCATAGCGCTGTTGTTATAAGCTGTGTTCAACATCACAACAGTTTTTGCGACATTTTCCCCCAGCAGGAAACAAAGTGGCATACTGCTCTCTTAAACCAGCCATCACAAAAATCACAAAATACGAGACTACTTTCACGAAAAAATCCACTGTGACCAGAGAGAACCTTCCCAGGGACGCCACTGGGTGCACTAACGCAGAGAGTGTTGCTTGATGCTCACCTAGCGGGAAAAATACATACTAGGAAAGCTTGCTTTTCCCATTTTTTCTTTGTGTGTGTGTGTGTGTGTGTGTGTGTGTGTGTGTGTGTGTGTGTGTTGGGTTGGGGGGAATCCTCTCGTACCTGAACAAGCTATATCCAGGACTGAGCCTTGAACCACAAGCCAATTGAGCAAAAGCTAAAGTGACTGTATCTAAAGAAGGTATTTGAAATAAAACAGACTTTCTCACAAGTTACCACAAGGGGGCAATGAACTCACTCTTGATCATATTCGCTACATTTCTCATAGTTACAGGGCATTTTCATAACATCAAACACAAAGACTGCAACAGAAAAACACTGTTTATTGGTCCTTTGTAATTGAAAATTGGATGCTTGTAAGATCAGTATGAAAAGGCATAAAAGCATATTTTCTCCTTAGTGCTCTACTGAATACAGAAAATCAAGGAAGGGAAAATATTAATGTGTAGTTGGTTATTTACAAACATGAATCATGAATAAAATATTTCATATTGAAATAACTAAAATTGAGATGGGGTAAATTAAGTATTTAGTAATATTCCCCCTCCTTAAATTTTTGTCAATCATTTTCAATAATTTAGAAGGTAAAATTAAATTAGAAAAGTACGAATAACAAAAAGATAAGGAGTTTTGTTTATTCAATATGTTCACAAATGTCTAAGACAGTGGGAGGAGTAAGGGGGAACCGATCACAATGACTGACGTATGGCCCCCTCCCAGGGGGACGGGCAACAGAAAAATGGGTGAAAGGAGACAGTGGTCCATGGAAGAAGCACACCAGCCTATGCAACCACGAGGTGTTGAAGGGATCAGGTGTAAGGCATCATCAGAACAAAAAATCTTACCATAGTGAATGATGGGGGGAGTGCGGAGTGGAGATCCAAAGCCCATTAGTAGGCCACTGGAGATCTCCTTGCAGAGGGGTCTCGGGGAGAAGATGAGCCAGCCAGGGTGCGATGTAACAATGATGAGAAATACAACTTTCCTCTAGTTCCTAAATGTTTCCTCCCCGCTCCCACTACCATGACTCGAATTCGATCTTGCAAGTCTGGCTAGACCAGAGGAGGTACACTGGTACAGATAGGAACTGAAAATACAGGGAATCCAGGACAGATGAGCCCTATAGGACCAGCGGTGTGAGTGGCAAAACAGGGAGGGTAAAGGGAGAATGGGTAGGAAAGAGGGAACCGATTACATGGAACTGTGTGTGACCTCCTCCCTGGGGGACAGACAACCGAAAAGTGGGTGAAGGGAGACGTCAGACAGGAGAAGATATGACAAAATACCCATTTATAAACTATCAAGGGCTCATGAGGGAGGGGGGAGCGGGGAGGAAGGGGAAAAATGAGGACCTAATGTCGGGGGTTTAAGTGGAGAGAAAATGTTTTGAGAAACGATGTACAAGTGCGCTTTACACAATTGATGTGTGTATGGATTGGGATAACAGTTGTATGAGCCCCTAATAAAATGTTAAAAATAAAAAGGAGATAGTGGTCAGTAAGACATTAAAAAACAATTATAAATTACAAGGGTTCATAGGGGAGGGAGCACATGGGAGGGAGGGTAAAAATGAGGAGCTGATACCAAGGACTCAAGTAGAATGAAAATGAGATGACAACATATGCACAAATTTGCTCGACACAATGGATGTATATGGATTGTGATTAAGAGCTGTACGAGCCCCCAATAAAATGATTTTTAAAAGTCTGAGAAAGTACGAACACACTAGTACTTACAGTTTCTGTTTCTTTTAATTCTGTTTTAGTTGAAAGTTTGTAAATCAATTGTACTTTGCAGAACAAATGAGGCAGGACTTTGGGTCCTACCCCAGATCCAGTCACTATACAATGTCTTCGAAGTTATTTTTTATTCTCCTTTAAATGATGGTGAAAGGATTAGTAGCAAGGTACTGGTCTTGGGTTCTTAGGTGTATTATTAGAGTCCTTTTGAAACTCAAACCCACTGCCTGTGACTCAATGTCCATGCACAGCGGCCTGACAGGACAGGGTAGAACTGCCCCTGTGGGCTTCTGAGGCTGTGGCTATTCCTGGAGTAGAAACCTCCATCTTCCTTTTGCGAAGCAGCTGGTGGTTTTGAACTGCTGGTTTTGTGGTTAGAAGATGGTAGTAATACTGTCTTTGAAGTCTCAAAATATTGGGTCCGTTTGGTCAACTAAGAGCTAAGTTTGAACAAGTATTGAGCAAGGTGCTTACACCATGACTTCGGATTGAATCACACTCCAAAGAGAGAAAGTAAGGAAAAAACAGGGGTTTCTTTGTTTGTTTGTTTTTGTTAAAAACGCTTTCCCCTATATTACGCATTTGCTGGACACAAATGTCCACATGCCTAGCTGAACTCTTCCAAGCTGACAGCTGGCCTGGGATCAGAAATCATGATGCTATTGGTAAAAACAAATTAAACCTTTTTTAACTTGGGTTAGAAAACTGAGAGCTCCAAAATAGGGATTCAGCACTTTTTTAAACAATCTCTTTATTCAAAGCATTTTTTTCAAGCAAAATATTCCCTTAGAAGAAGCGACAAGCAGAGGGAAGTCTGACACCCCTTCTCCAGCTACTGAACCGGCCCTCAGGGTTCCCTCTGCCTTTCGGACGTACCTGCCGCCCTGATCTGACCAGAAGGTGTAACGTGGGGAGATTCACTATTTTCCAGCCTTCCTCATGTGCTCTCTTTCCTCAGTTTCTTTAAGATCTGTCAGTCTAACCACCTCCCTTGGAAAAGCCCATCAAACACTGTTTAGAGGCCTGTCCCACCTTCTGTGGATAGCAGTCCTACCTCACTCTTCAGTGCCCACACTAGCTTGCATTTCCCCCACTTTTAAAAAGTCTCCAGCAAAGGAAATCAATATCTTGATTCTATTTCTTGGGCTAGATCTGGTCACTCCACCAGATTGTGAGCTCCTTGAGAGTAGGGTTCGTGAATAAATCACCTTAATGTTCATTGTGGCTACTCCATAACTGCTTGCTAGATGGGAAAGCCCCCACATTGCTAAGTTGGTAGCAGAAAGGAAGCATCACATAGCTGCCAAATGAAAACTTAACAAAACTGAAATAAAACGCTGACTTCTGGAAAACAAGCCAAGAAAGAATAGAGATGACTTCGTCTAGATAGGATGCTGAGGAATGACACTTTAAAAGGAGGTTTAGGTTACCACACAAATAAGAGATGGCCGCCTGCTTATCTCCATTCTTGACAAGAAGAAGGAAGTAGATGCATTCCCATGTTAAACATCAGCAAACATTCGTTGACAGTGAAGTTTACAAGAAAGGAAGCAAGGCACCCAGGCAGGACGCAGAGCCCCATCCTCTGGAGAACTGTGAGGACAGAGTGGGTGCTTCCTGGAGTTTGCAGTGGGTTAGAGCTGAGCTAGCTGGGTAGAGCTGAAACACAGGAACCCCGGACCTCACTTGCAGAGTTTTCTCATCAGGCAAGGGGCCGAGAGTTTCCAGCGACTACAATTTCTACGATTCCATGAAAAACTAAAAGCCAGTATCTAGGATAAGTTAAAGATAGAATAGTAACAAAGAACTAAACATCTATCCAAACCTAAGTTTTCCAAACCACACACATCGAACTTGAATGAAACTTGGAAAGTAACCTTCATGTGGAATATCATAGAACATAATTCCAAAGCTCACAGCTTTGTCAATTCCAATTTCTAAATCAGCTTGGTTTATAAGTATCTTAAAACAGAAAAAAAATCAAACACCAGTGATCTAAAATTATTTCCTGACATAAAATATGGATTTCAATTATGGTACATTAAAAATGAAGAAAACAGTAGTTACTGAAAGAATGCACTGCACAAACAATTTTTTGAGCACTTACCGAAGTCCATGGCACGTTGACAGCGCAACAAATGAGGCAGGGTTTCCTCGGATATGTCCCTGGTAGTAACAGTGTTCCCCGCCCTGAAAAGAGAAAGAGAGAACATAAACCGTTGCCATCACAAGGGAATTACTCCCAGAATTCTGCAGGCGTTTGCTTACGTTGCATTTCCACATGTCAGGCCCTGTGTAATGTTTCATTATTCGCATTGCATTATCAATCCTTTGCAGACAAAATTATTCCTAAGCACTCCTAGAGAGCTGACTCCAATTAAAAGAAAGGGAAAGAAAAGTTGGCTCAAGCTTCTTTTCAGGCAGCAGCTGTTGATGGTGCAAAGAAATATACACTGAAGTGCACGAGGAGCCCCTGGGGCAAAGTTTAAAATCATCGATTCCCTTGGCCATGAACGAGTCAACCTTGAGTAACAGCGCTTTGTGTTGTTTTTCCACATAAAACTAAGTAAAAATGAGTACAAATCCATGGAATCACCGAAGTTAAACTAATGGAAGAAAAGGCCGCTCCGACACTGCTCATAGCTAAGCTTGAGCGGCAGGTGGAACCGTTTACACTATCTCTTCCTCAGCTCAGCAATGGCCTGGAACGCAGTCTAGGGGCAGGGTTTTGAAACTGGGCAGGTTCTTCTAGCAGGCAGTCTGGCTAACTGAATGCCATTAAGAGTCATTTACCTGGACTGAGTCTGCCTACGGAAGGTCTAAGTGTTCTGCAGTATTAACAACCTTGCTGTTCACAGTGTGGGCTGTACAACAAGTGCGTTGACATCGCCAGGAGCGTGTAGACATTCAGAAGCTCAGGCTTCATCTCAGACATATTGAGTCAGAAACTGCATTTAACAAGAACCCAAGGTGATTCTTAAGAAAGTTTGAAAAGCGTTTTTCTAAATGACCTTTTCCTGCTAATTTCCTATTTCTTCAGTAGCTAAAAGCCACTAATTAAACTGACTCACTGAGGTGTGGATAAGTGAAATCGGAAGGATTGACAGAATAAATGTATGGGACAAATGTTACCTGCCTCACACTCTGGCTTCGGGGTCTAAGCTGACTTAAAATAATCAGGGCTTGACAAGTCCTCGGGACAGAACAGGAAGGCATAACGATGTAAGAAGTCTGAAGACATTTTCTTCACTGAAATGTCACATAAGACTGTCAGACCCAAGACCATTGCTCCTCAAGAGACATTGAGCAGGATCTGGTGGATCTTAGCTTCGGCGAGGAGGAGGAGAGCAAGATGGTACACAGCGATACCTCCGATGCATCGCTGAGCATCATAAACCAATCACTGTGGTGGGACTGGACAGTGGGGGTTAGATGTGTCAGATGTGGGCTGGAACCCAGAAGGCCAAAGGAAGTCGGGAATAGAAACAGGCCAGACATTAGGAAGTGAGGCACTGACTTCGCAGGGAAGGGAGGCATGGTGGAGATGTCACCACCCTGACCTATTCCACTGGCTAGCTGTGTGATCTCAAGCAAGTTCTCTAGCCTCCCTGTGTCTCAGTATTCTCCTGCCCGCATAGATAATAATCTCATAGGATTATTCAGAGAAGTAAATGAGTTGCTATGTATAAAGCATTAGAATGATGCTTGGTATATGGTAAGGAATATTTGCTGGCTACTCTGACCATACTTATTCAATCGGTATGCTGAACAAAATATCAAAGAAGCTGCATTATATGAAGAATGCAGCATCGGGAATGGAGGAAGACTTATTAACAACCTGCAATATGCAGATAACACAAACTTGCTTGCTAAGAGTCAGGAGGACTTGAAGCACTTGGTGATAAAAATCAAGTCTTGCAGCTTTCAGGAAGGATATCAATTCAATGAAAATAAAACCAAAATCCTCACAATTAGACCAATAGGTAACAACATGATAAAACGGGAAAAAGTTGTCCAGAATTTCATCTTGGGTTCACAATCAATGCTCATGGAAGCAGCATTCAAGAGATAAAATGATGCACTGTATTGGACTGAAACGCCAAGATGTTACTTTGAGGACCAAGGTGTGCCTGAGCCCAAGCGCTGGTATTTTCAATCACTTCATATGCATGTGAAAACTGTACATTGAATTAGGAACACCAAAAAATTGATACATTTGAATTATGGTGTTGGAGAAGAATACTGAAAGAACCATGGACTGCCAAAGAACCAACACATCTGTCATGGAAAAAGTACAGTCAGAACGCTCCTTAGCGGTAAAGAAGACTAGACTCTTTGTCTCATGTACTTCGGACGTATTATCAGGAGAGGCACCGAAGAAGGACATCACACTTCGTAACAGAGAGAGGCACAGAAAAAAGAGGGAGGCCCTAGAAAAGACAGATTGACATAGTGGCTGCATCAAAGGGCTTAAACATAAGACCAACTGTGAGATGGTGCAGGACTGGCAGTCTCCTCTTCTGTTGTGCACAGGGTCAGTATGAGTTGAAACCAATTTGGTGGCACCTAACAAAAGTGACTATTATGATTATTGTATGTCAATAATTATCTTGCCCAATATACTTATACACACACACACATTAAATCCTCACATCAATTCTATGAGGAAATATCATCCTGTTACACATCCATCACGCCCCTTTGCCACTGAATTGATGCCAACTTATAGTGAAAGGTTAGAATAAAACTTTTCAATAGCACGTTCAAGGCTGTAAATCTTTATATGAGCAGGAGAGACTGGTGGGCTCAAGGTATCAACCTCCTGGTTAACAGCTCAGTGCTTATTAACTCATCACCATGACTTCTGTCTAGTATGCAGAAGAGGGCACACTCTCTGGAGATTAAGACTATCTACCTGGGAAATGACAAATAGGGACACAAACTTTGTGTGAATCTAAAGCTTGAGTCTTTACCCCTAGAAGCTATGGATTATGTAATGCAAATCCAAGCTTTTCCCTAGACTCATTTAAAATTTTCATTTTCCATTTTGTTTGTCTAATAAGGCTATAAACTTAACATAATGTTAAAACATCCTTTGTTGGACTCTTGGATTAAGGAACTGTGATAATTAGGTTTTGTATCAACTTGGCTGGGTCAGAATTCTCATTGGCTTGGCAATTAATATTTTTTAATTCCCCATAACCTGGCTGTGGGATACAGAAAGGTTTCTCCCTAGTTGTCTCCCTCAAATATATGCCAAACCCAAGACACTGCTTGCTACACATGGTAAATGAGGTTATCAGCCATCTAGACCCTAAGCAACCAGACTGTATAGTCTGACCCACCCTAAGTAGGACCCACTTCCTTCTGATAAGGATAGTGATGGTTCCCTTGAAGGAGAGCCTGCAGGCAAGCCTAGGACCACTCAGGGATGACTAAGGTTAGGCTACTATATTGAGTCTAGAGTCTACCCATCTTGCCACATATGTACCCTATATTCCCTCCTCTTACTATTGGGTGTACACCCCAGGTCATCCCCCTCCTATTGCTTGTATTACCTATGTTACAACCCCTTCCTCTGATGTAGGTCGTTATCTGTAATCAGGAGGCTTGTATGCACCTAAAGATATATAAGTTTGGGTTAGAAATAAATCCAGCTCTCTCCTGCCCTCTCATCTCCCACCTCCACATGTATCACCAAGAGGAGCCGGGGTGAGCATGCTACCATGAAATGTGTCTGACTTCTTTATTTTACACTCTCTCCTATCTCTCCTATTCTCTATGACTGTACTATAATCTTTGCATATCATAACTGTACAGTTGTGCCTACCGAACCCATGATAGTTGTGAGGGGCTGGTTACCCCCACACCTGACCTAACACAATATAATCCCAGCTAATCAGTACTAAGAAGATTAGAGGGGGATACAACACCCTTACTCAGTTAACAGCCTTAGTGCAACAGATTGAAAGGACGTTTGCTTAGAGCTACGGCCTGCTTCTAAAGTAAGTGAATGCTGTGAAGTAGTTTGCTTCCCTTTTTCCTGGGTCTGGAACCTGCATCTGGCTCCTCAACCTTGATGTCTTTGGAATTGAGCCAATGGTTTGTCACATTCCTTGCTGATCACCGATCTGGGATTCATTCAACTCTACAGTCACAAGTATGACCTACTGACCTTGGATTCATTAGTCTCTGCTGCAATTAGCCTGTGGCCCTCCTGTCAGTCTTAGAGTTCATCAGCCCCCACAGAGACCCAACATGAGAGGCCTCCAGCCTAACACCTCAGCTTCAGACTTGGAAACTGCCTGCACTTGGACTTGTCCACTTCTGTAACGATATGAGCCATTATCTTTATTATTACTAATCATATTATTGGGGGCTCTTACAACTCTTATAACAATCCATCATTTAATTGCATTAAGCACACTTGTACCTATGTTGCCATCATCATTCTCAAAACATTTTCTTTCTACTTGAGCCCTTGGTATCAGCTCTTCTTTCCCCCCTCCCTCCCCCGCCCTCGCGAATCCTTGATCAATTAGATATTATTATTGTTATTTCATGTCTTATACTGTCCCTTGTCTCCCTTTACCCACATTTCTGTTATACATCCCCCTGGGGGGTATACTACATATCAACCTTGTGATGGGTTCCCTACCCTGCCCTGCCCACCCCACCCCGCCCACACCATTCCCCTACCCTCATAATATCAATACTCCTACTACTGTTACTAAGGGTTTTATTGTCCTGAATTCCATGTGTTGAAGCACTTATCTGTACCAATATGTGTACTGGTCAGATTTTTAAGATAGAACTGGGTCATGGTAGTAGGCGGAAGAAGCATTCAGGAGTGAGCCTTTATCTTGATGTACATATATGAAAGTCACTGGTTGTAATGAATAGAGTTTATATCAAGTAGACACTCCTAGGTGAAGGTAGGGGTGGAACCCAACCTATTAATCAAAGGCTGAAGACACCACAAGGTGTGGCCTTTTGTATAAGAGAGAGAACCAGAGCAGAGCAAAACAGAGAGCTCTTTTCCTTAGCTTTTACTGGATCTGGATTCTACATCTGGTTTGTTGATCTCCTGTTCTATCACCTGTCAACTCCTGGAGCCATCAGCAGACTGGTAACCTTGGATTCATTTGGCTGACCTCAGATTCATTTACCTCTGCATCCACCAGCCTGTG